GGGAAGACAATGTCTCAGACCTCCTGTGCAAATTAGCAAATTAGCAAATTAGGTGAATTAGCCTGCAGATTTTGCACTCACTCTTTCTGGAGTATTGTATCATTCGAGAAAACAGTTGCTTCCTACGGGCATATGATCTTTTAGTGAAATTCATTGTGCTGGAGTGGAGTCAAATTTAAGCTGGAGGTTTGGCTCACACTGTGCAGGGCTATAGCGAAACCGCTTTGTGTAACTCAGTATCCTGAGCTTTCCAACGGTGCAAAGATAACAACCTCTTTCGGTCAGTAAGAAGCAGCTTTCGGTTAGAATACGTCCACACTTTCAGTTTTGTGATGATCGGCTTTCACTTCCCCCTAACATCCACTATTTTTGTCGTTTTAACATAAATATCGGAGAAGAAACCGAAGTAATGCCTTTAACAATATGCGTACTGTAGTTGCCTGATCGATTATCGATCGATACAAATTACCCTAATCCGCTACGCATGCGATTCAGACGTGAATACATAGAATTACGTATTTCCAAGAACCGAATCCATTAGTTCATGAAGTCAAGATTCTAATTAGGAATAATTTGCCTCTGATTAGTTCCCCATCGCCTCGGGAAATATAGGCATTTGAGATGAAATCCGTGCAGATTCACAGAGAAACTGTGGGAGAACGCGTGAGATTACGGGCAACAAACAAGCTTATCCGTCGACGACGTCAAATCCCCGCAGAGCGGCCCAGAACGAGCCACCCAACTCCGGCTTTTTACTACTCCGCACCATCGCCAGTGTGGGCTGGGAACGTGGTAATCAGCACTGTTCCTGATAGGATTAACAAGAGAGCGCGATAACGGGTCGAACATTTATGACTAATTCACTGATGTGGGGCTTTCATAGGATTATTTCGGTAAGAACACTGACAACATCAACTGGATACGGTGGATTGGAATGTCTGAGACGAACACTTTTGTTCTCTGAGAGGGAACATGACCGAATCAAACGATAGCAAAAAAGTAGGAATCAGGGGTTTTCAGGGAAAAAGTTTGGACTATCTCGAATACGTCACACACCGGGTTTTGTTCAGAGATTTCAGGCACATTAAACCCTATCTTGGTTACATTAACACCCACTATTTTTTTTTTTTTTCCGCAGCATTAAAAACCGGCCACTGGCCAAGATCACAGATAAGTGACGTAGACAAGGTTGAACTGAAAGCTACGTAACTGATCAGGCAATCAGCGTTGACACTGGCTTCTAAATGTTACCGTACGTACAGAACAGCGCTAGCACTATAAAATTGCCAGTAAACTAAAAGTATCAGGTGTTTCAGAAAGTTCTGTCGTTTTCCAGCCCCTAATTTTAAATGCACGTATCTCGGCTTGGGCTAAACCTTTCGAGTTGATTAAAAAACCATTTGAAAGCGCGAATCTTGTTCTATAAGAAACCGTTCAACAGGGTACGTTTATTTGGAATGCTGGACCTCTGGAGGCGATGAACTGAGGGAAGGTCGTTTTAGCATCATGTTGGTTTTTGATGTATTTCTCTTCAAGGAAGCTATCGAGATCGTCAGAAGTTTGACAGTAGATAGTTCAAGGGTCTACTAAGTAAGATGTTCGCAGAACCACTCTGAAGTTCAGCTGGTACAACTTGTGAAGGGTTGGCCGTGCGATGTGCGTTCAAGACACCTTTCAGGGATGTGTGTGTTCCTTTATAATGAGGAATGCTGGACCCATGTCCTAGAGTTTTTGATGATTTTTGAATTAGTATAAAGATTGATTCTCCACTGTAACAGTTCCATCTGATACTGAAGAACATGGCCAGCCGCTGGCCCCATGAAAGCTGCCACAACCCTCCTCCAGCACAGTTTAAATTCTGCAAAGTTTGTAGAGCTTCATCGCCGTCGATCTATTCAGCAAACTTTCGTAGACTATAGAGAAGAATCCGCTCTTTATTGTACGTCGCAAATCTGTAGAGAAACGAGTCGCTTTCACCACATAAAACCAGCGACAATTTGATGGACGATGCTTCAAATTGGTGATTTGTCGCGGCACGCCACTATCGAATTTTTTAGACTTTCCAGCTTCTTCCGTATAGCTTGGCTGTACAAACCATATACGCCCACGTTGGGCAGAACCTCCTCTATGGTCTTACGCACAAGTGCTTCAATCAGAACTTTTGGCTAATCGGAGACACCGTCCGATGTCCGACCACTACTCTCATCATATTCAAGGCTCTCGCCTTCCTTACAATAAATTTTTTAACTACTGCTTCTGAGCACATTTATTGCAAATCTAGGCCCAAAGCATCGTTGATATCTTGAACTGATCCCGCCACTTTCAGGTCTATTTAAAGCTAGAAAAAGAAAGTCATGCCAGCTTGCTCCTCGAGTATACTGAATTCAAAGCTTTGAAAAAGCTATAAGAAAATATTTTAGGATAAAGTTGTGCTGAGCATTGGATAGAGCTGGAAAAGTTCTTCAAAATGACATCAACATCAATTGCAGCTTTCCTAGATTTCAAGGGAAATAAAGCATCCAAAAGTGGAATGTCAGAAAACGACAGAACTTTCTGAAACACCTAATAGATCAAGAGTCGTCCACTGAAATAAGCTTCTGCTCCATTACCCATAGAAAAAACTCATATACCTTAGGCCCGCATAGTGTATAGCAAAAAGATCGAACATAAGCGTTAGTTCTTCTTCATGCTAATTCCCACACACATACTTGAAAAATTGATTATCGACTGCTTTCGCTGAAAGATTCTGATTAGGTATGTTTTCAGTGGGTAAAAAATTGAAGCTTTTTTCCTGTTGGGAAGAACCTTTAGTTATCGGTGAGCCGACTCAGGGAACAGGTTGTGAATTAAAAAAAAACTAGAAACAGCTTTTCGCCTCAGTCAATGTTGGATGCCGCATGATTTCTGCTTTCACCCTAGAAGCGCCGTAGTGGTGAGGCAACGAACCAGGGGGGACTGGAAGGATGCAGTAAACGCCCTGAAAACAACAAGGGGTAAAAAATTCATTTTACCCCGGCGTTAAAAGCTTATGGTCCATGGCATGTGACGATATCCGATCATAGATCTTGACTCATCGGACACGCGGCAGTACCACGTGTTTATTCGGCCCAGCTTATCTTCGCTTTAACTACATACTGGAAAAGCACATTTTCATATTCGAGCAATCTATTATCGATAAGTCGTGATGACAAACGTCAGGGCTCTGGAATAGCTAAACTCCAACAAGGAGGTCAGAAGCCTGAAAGCTCAGTCTCAACCAATAATTCTATGAATTCTCACTTCTTTACGACCATCTGATTGAATACCCCGCACATAATATAGTACCCAGCCATTAACCATTTTATGGGATTACATGGATTTTCTTACGGGTTCGTGGTCTTATCACGAAACACTCTTTTCAAATATTCCTCTATAAAAACCGCCCTAACTTGAGTGTCCGGTTCGCGGTGGTCTGTATGTATGCTATGTTGTCTAGCTCTCCATCCAAAATTGAGAGTAGTGCATAGCATTTGCCGTAATGAAATAAACAAACCGCTAACATAATCGGTGAGCTCGCAGGACTTGAGCTATCGATTTTCTGTAATAAGAAAATTGTGGTAACATCCCTACTCACGGCCACATAAGCAACCACTGAGCACACTTGCAGTGGCAGCTGAACACAGTTGAGGAGTAGGATGGGGAAGGCGAGGCAAGACAACACATCACATTCAGGCCATTAGGGGTTGCAGCTTATGGCCACCGTGATCTGTCATTCTACCGCCATGTCGTGGTTATGGCCATACTCTCTACTATACGAAACTCCTTTTTCTGCAAACACGTGCTTCCCCGAAGTGTTAGCATTACGTTTGGAAGGGAACACACCGGAAGAAAAGCCTGCGGTAGGGAGGGAAGGTCCCGGCGGTTGACGGGGTCCAACCTGGTGAGCAATAAAAGCAGCTCAATCCATATTAAACATCAGTCCTGGTGGATACGGTGCACATTTTCCACTCAAAACTAACTCAGTTCAGTCAGTTTTAGTGCACCGATTGGACTACCGAAAGTGTTTGAAGAGAAATAAAATAAACCCCGTAGTACACACATAAAGGATAGAATATAGCTTTTGATATAATCTTCATACTCATGTTTTATACATTTCCTAGAACTCCATTATAGCCCAGGCTTTTCGGGGTGGTGTGAGCCCCTACTCCAGCAAGCGAGTTTTTCTCGGCTCAGATCAGGCAAGAGAACAAAGCCGAGCCGAGCGTCGGTTGCAGGTCGGAAAAGCTCTGAATCGCGTTATTTTGTGATTGTCGTACGGCTTGTGAGCGCCTGCTGAGCTGAGCGCGATAGTCACCGTCGAACTTCTCCGGCAAACAATCGCGAACAATTGACAGCTAGTTTCGCCTTGATGGCTAATCCATCGGTTACACAGCCCAACCAACCACCTGGCGACGATACGGCCGTCGTCAGCGACCAAAACCATCCACATACCGTATTCCAACCCATTGGCGACGACAGGCCTTAGGGACCGGCTTTTGACACGATTTGAGCTCTGGTGCCACTTAATCACATCGGATTATCATCAACTGAATCATTGCTCGTTCACTTATGCAACGGCGAGCGGGACGCGCGCGCGATGGGTTACGGTAGCGGCTTTCTGATGGAAAGAGTAACACCTGTTAGACTATAACTCTCTTTATTACAATATATTGAATGACATGGAGATATTCATATACACGACTACTAGGCTGGTGGTGATTTCTTTGGCTGTGAGGGCGGCGGCGGAGGTGGTGGTGGCGACGGCGGCGACTTGACGGCAGTCGCCGTCGTCGTGTCGCTGGCGACGGCGATTTTCGCCCGTTTTGCTCGTGCCGCATCGTCCTCGTCACTCAAGTCACAGTCACTCTCGTCCGAGGCGGTAATCTTTTGTACAGCGCCCTCCTTGCCCGTCTCCCGTTTCTGCTTGCGCTCCTTGGCGCGCCGATTCTTGAACCAGACCTGGAAGGACCACTGGCATTTCAAGACACAGGATCTTTTAACAAGCCTGGACAGGAAGGTGGACAATTCCAAAACATTCTAGACGGAATCTGGGCGAACACTTTTTTCATCTCTACAAGAAAAAAAACCACGCCCATCAGTCCTGTTCCATAAGAGAGTTTATGTCAATAAAAATACCACTGAGCCATGGAACATTCAAAAAAGCGATATTATTTTTAGTAAGGATATCCGTCGGTGAAAAACAAGCCATCAAATGGGAAACAAAATTGAATAATTGGTGAAAATAACTCACTTCTACCCGTTCCTCTTTTAGATCACATTGTATAGCAAGTTTCTCACGTAACGATACATCGGGATAGTGTGTTTCCGTGAAAGTCGCTTCCAATACCTTAACAACAGGGAATCGTGGCAGGATCAACATAATCGGCCAAGATACTGTAACCAGATCTATGAGATGTGAGTCTGTAGATACCTGTAATTGTTCCTCGGAGAAAATCGTACGATGTCGACGTTTTCGTTTGCCGCTGAAGTGGAACGAAGGCAAGAATGACGTCATAATTGGTGTTGGCACGAGTCCATGATCTGAAAAAGAAGGAATACCATTCCCATAGAATAGTTCCCGCCTATGTGACCTTACCCGGGAAGTAAGAGCAATACGGGCAGTGGTTTTTTCGCTGCCGATCGATAATTACCGGTATAGACCGTTCTCGAGCGAGTTCAGTAAGTAATTGGATGAACTTTTTTCATCGCAAATTCCTTGAGAAACGCCCGCGCCTACGTTCACTAATAGGAGAACATTTTGGAGAACTCAGCCATTACAGAGCAGCTTTTTGGAGCTTTAGAAGTCGATTTAGGCTTCGATCTCTAAACCCATCCGTTGCCGTTTTTCAATAAATGACTCAAAAAGCTTTTGAAAGAAAACTAAACAACAGTTCAAACTACAGTAATACAGTAATTTGGGTATACATTCAAAAATACGAAATGAACCTGCAGATGCTATTTATAGGAGCAGTTATTCCTATAATCTTACTTGAGCATTTCATTTGTTTCCCACTGGCCTTCACTCCCATAAGGGGCAGGGAACCTTTGGTCTTATTTTAAGTCATGACTATCGCTCTCGGGTAAGGTAACCAAGCAGAAGCTCGCGATACTTATAAGGTTGACATCGAACTTGCACTCACCGCCTAGGCTAATTACCATCAACGTTGATTTGTTTATTTTTTATTTTTATTTTTCATTAGTTTGTAATTTTCTATTTTTTTACTAATTCAAAGAAGAAAATTCAACGCTTTAGATTGGTCGGGCTCGGCTGCTAGGTTGAAATAGCATCTATGGCAGATTTCTGTACATGTGCTAGCAGAAAGACCTTGTACAGGGCTGTGAACGACCAGAGATGCTACCCTTTTGAAACGGTGGGGTAGGGCCTTATAATGACATGACTTAAACTCCGAATAACGAAGGAGTAGGTAGTGGGTCTTTGAACACTAACGTATTGCATGGTTTGTACGTACACATTTGAAACCACAACCCACGTCCAAACGGTGACGTCCGACAGGTCAAACATATGCCACACTTTTGCACCTACTGATAATCGGGGAACAAAAGCTAGTTCACCTTCATACATCGTCATTTCGTGTGTATTGATTGATCATCAATTCATCACGTGTTTCCTATTTAACCCTACCTAGCCTTCCTGCTTTGACTGGACGTAATAAGTAGCAAAAATGACTCATTTTGTGAATTTTTCAACTTGCACAAAACTATTTGTTGGTTTCATAGTTGTCCCCAGGTGCAGCCGTGACCAATATGGAACCGAACTGGAACCCCTTTATTCCTGATTCTAATATTTGTGTTATAAGTGTTTATATATTTAGATACTGTAGCAGAATTACCCGAGAATTATAGGTAATCCAAGTATTTACCCCCGTCTAAGGTTGTTCAATGGAGAGCGAAACGAGTGCACATCATCTCAATGAGTCTAGTGGGGGCCACCACGAGCGCAAGGTATCTCAACCCCCTTGCTGTGCGCATTGGCAAACAACGACCATTGTAAGGAGGCGCGATGCCACCAGTGAGCATCTCTCGCTCGTGTACGCTCGCCACCTACCCTTACAGTATTACAGACAAGGATTAGAAGCAAACAACTCATCACCCCTTTCGACCCCGTGATTTCCTTACCACACCAATAATTCAGGAAAATTTGAAGAGTTTGGTAGTCGAGTGACACAATACACATCGGGGAAATCAGAAACGAAATCCTGCATCTGAACTTGTAATGAAACTTTTTTTTGGGGAGGGGGGGGGAGGAGGACTTTTCATGCTCAATGCTAAAAGCTCGTTTTCGAGTTTTTCAGAGTCACTTTAAATTCCTGTAATTTTGTGGATCTCTGAAAGCCACTTAAAACAACGAAAAAGCTCAGAAACTTGGATTTTCAGCCTTAACGACGCCTTTCGGGTTCTTCATTCCTAGTTCCCGTGGTTAAAGGAACTCGTACCGAAGGCTTACTGTGGGTTAGCAACCTATTCATTTTGTCCGATCATGAATAAAGAGCCCTAACAAAAAAGGTAATAGGTAGCTCGCTAAATTGCAAACCCAATTCCTTCTCAAGCGATTTTACACTCATTTAACTGGCAGCGGTTCAAATGGTGTCTAGATCAGAAGCGGAACAGCTCTTCAGGTGCAAGAATCTTCAAAATAGTGCCTTCAAAACAATGTTTGAAAAAGGTTGTTGGTGACTATTGGTGACTAAGACGAGGTGAGTTGCCCAGAAGTTACCGAAAAAAGTTCAAGAGGTTTCTGGAAATGCTTTCTAGTAGACTTTACCGTATTTTCGGCACTAAATTCAAAAGTCCATTTGAATTCAGCGGATAAGTAACATTTCAAAAAATAATTCAGGAAGGAGACAGAATGTTTCAAAGCAGCATCCAAAAAGTGCTACAGTTCCCCTTCATGAAGATAGACAAAGATATTCCTTAGCGAAGAAAAGTGACGCTTTCCGGGTCGATCCATATTCAAGCAGGTAGCCGCTAAGAGAGTCATTCGAAAGGCAGCAGAGATTTTACCACGGTTCGCGGATCAAGCTCATTCAAGTCAAAAAAAAATATTATGCCCACGGTAGCCTTGCGGGCTTCCTCTTAAGTTTGGCGGTTTCAACGGCTCAGTTTTGGCTTAACACGAGTTTAAAAGAGCATTGATCACTAAATGTTTATCGTATCATTTGTATGCTTATGAAGTGTTCAATTGATTTGAGATATAAAAAAGTATAAAGGCGATTCAGAACAACGGAAGGGTTCAAGTGTATTGAACTTCCAGATGTCGCCTGTTTCCACCGAGAGCAAGCAATTACGTACCACGGTATCGAATTGAAAGAGAACCACTGAGATTTTTCACAGGGATGACATTTCGAAAAGTATAAAAGGTTTGGAAAGAAACTTAAAAGGGTTGTCAATGAAGTCATGAAATTGATCTGAAATCTCTCAAAAAACTTGCTCTGGAAGGGTATGGCTAGAACCAAATAGGTGAAGCCGGTACCTTACCAAACAGTAGTAAACAAACAAACAACGTCCAAGTTGCAAACACAGTTCAAAATTTAATCATTGAATAAGTTCGTAACGCCACTGATATGATAAATCACTTACGTAAAAACGGATAAGCCGCAATCGACCATTGTGCACTCGGATGGAACATTTCAGGTGTCATTGAGACGTGTGGTAATGGAAATGGTAGACGTGCCGATAGAAGATTCTCAATCGAGAAATTATTGTTGAGGCCGCTACTGAAAGAACATCTATAGCTAGCCATATCTGGACGCTGTCGTACACCTTGATGGGCTATTCTTCCCTTCTTTTCAGGCTCTTTTAGGGCACCAAAATGTTTGCTAGACCAGTGAAAGTTTGCAATCCCCGGGTGACCACGAAAATCCTCAATCGAGCGAGGGTTTGTAGCTAATTGACTCTTATGCTTTGATTGTCCCAAAAACCACCTAGGTGATGGTGGTTTCTGGTAAGCCCCGGTGCTGTGGAAGAGAAGAAGCAATAGAGAATGAGTTTGCTGTACTGTACCTGCTCGGCGTAGCCATTGCTGTCATACAGGATCGAATTTGTTCCTGATTCGCCAAATAGTAAGGATAAGGCAACGACATTTTGGTGGAATGGCGCTTGGGCCGTACGGCTACCGTGTCTCGTCAGGCCCCGCCCACGGCGCAGACGGTGATTTGCTGGCCACGCCCCCGGGCTGCAATGACTGGCGCGACAGGCTCGGCAGCACGGCGACCGCGTCCGTCTTATACCCCAAATCGCCTTTCAGGGCCACAATACGTGGCGAAAAAATCGCACTGAGTAGTTGGCAAATATTGCTCTGTACTGTGGACTTTATTCACCCGCTCAACGGATTCCAGCTGGGGTGCAATGGAGCAACTATGCTTATCGATTGCTTGGGGAATACCAGCTTTGTACGATCTGAAACAAGTGATGATCATAAACAAGGGCGAGAAGACGAAGAGGAAGGTGAATAGTAGAGGGAAGAGATGGGAGAAAGGATCTTGGGAAGGAGTTTCGTGATTAGGACAAATTTTTCAATGCTGCAAACTTTTCAATGCTTCAAGTGCTAATCGATTTTTTCATCTTTATAGGAGTATTTGGTTGGGGAACTACGAAAAGGCATTTTGTTGATCGCTGAAAACAAGCTTAGAAATGAAGAAAAGGCACAGAATTTTGGGTTTGCCCTTTTTTAAGTCGCTAAATTTCTCAGCTGAAGGAAAAAACCCAGAAGCCCTAATTTAGGAAGAACTTATAATCAGTAGTGAACGCTGGATATAAAGGGACCGCAATCAAAAACACCTTATAGTCTGAATTTCGAGCGCAATAACAGAGCAAAGACAATTTCGGTGAACCCCATAAAGCAGCCAGACGTTCCTAAAACACTGCTCACCACTCCGAATGTGATAGGCCTGTTGACTAAGGAAAAACCAATAAAACCACTGTCGAGAAAAACCGATAGAAACCACTGTTTACTGAGTAATGTAGGCTGTGACAGAGTGATGAGGTGCTGTGCGCCACCGATCCAGTGAAGGTGTTGAGACGGCGTCGCGTCCTTGCGCGAACGCACTGAAGCGAACCGATCACCTGCGCGTTCGCCCTCAGATCTACTATGATAACTGGCTCACTAATCACATCAAAAGAAAG